CAACTCAAACAAGCAATGGCATCAAATAATCTAAGAACAACATGGTCTCTAATCGACGAAATCAGTGGTAAACGCACAAGCTACAGCACATCAAAAATCAAACGAAAAGATGGTACAAAAATTAACTCAACCAATGAACTTATGCAAGAATGGAAAACATATTTTGAAGAATTACTTAACGTCAAAACAAACATCAATCTAAACACCCAAGCAATACCACCAGCTCCTGAAGATCTGTCAATCAATCAAGGCCCAATAACAATCAACGAAGTGAAACAAGCAATAAAACAATTAAAAGACAGAAAATCTCCTGGACTTGACTATTCAATAACACGTGAAGTGCTGAAATATGGTGGCAAACGGATAATGAATCAACTTTGTAACATATGCAATGAAATCTACAACAACCAACAAACACCAAAACAATTCAACACCAACATCATAATACCAATACCAAAAAAAGGCGACAAAACGCTTACGACGAACTACAGAGGCATTAGTCTTATGTCAGTCGCAGCTAAAACCTATAACAGAATCCTGTTAAACAGAATAAGAGAACCATTCGACTCGATTCTAAGGTTAAACCAGGCAGGTTTCAGGAAAGGGCGAAGCTGCATTGATCAGATACATGTCATACGTAGAATTCTAGAAAGCGCAATTGATAAACAACTCCCAATATATATAACCTTCGTAGATTTCAAAAAAGCCTTTGATTCCATTAATAGAAAAACAATGTTCAACATCTTAAGGCATTATTGGCTACCTGCCAAAATAGTAGGTGCAATTGAAGCCATATATCATAATACCAAAAGCGTAGTTCTCGTAGACGGCAACGTCTCTGAAGAATTCGACGTTACAACTGGTGTCTTGCAAGGAGACACCTTAGCACCATTTCTTTTCATAATAGTGATCGACTACGTAATGAAAAATGCTCAATTAGACCACACAAACGAAAAGGGAGAACATGGCTTCATAACAAACAAGAGACAATCCAGTCGACAACCACCAACATGCATACACGACCTCGACTTCGCCGACGACATAGCACTCTTGGAAAACAGTTTCGATGGTGCACAATCACAACTCATTCAAACAGCGAAAAGGGTCAGCGAAGTGGGTCTACAAATCAACATCAAGAAAACACAAGCATTAACGAACCAAGACACAAACAACCAAGCAATACAACTCGACGGACAAAACATCGAATGGGTAAACAACTTCAAATACCTCGGCTCAATGATGTTATCTACCACCACAGATATCAAAGTACGGAAAAGTCAAGCATGGAAAGCCTTCTGGAAAATGAAAAACATATGGAAATCAACAACAATACCAATTAAACTCAAAATTAACATATTCAAAACTTCATGTCTCTCCATATTATTATACGGATGCGAAAGTTGGATCATTACAAAAAAGCTCGAAAGTACTCTAAATAGCTTCGCTACTAGCTGTTATAGGGTAATGCTGGGCATCCAACGAACAGACAAAATAAAAAACAACACCATATACGAAACAACCAAAGAAGAACCTTTAACACAAACGATACAACGACGACAATTACGCTTCATCGGACACTGTCTTCGTCGAAATACAAACGAATTTATTAACATGTATGCTCTGTACACACCAAAATCTGGCCATGGAACACGAAGACGTGGTCGTCCACGTTTAAACTATCCTGATTACGTCGCAAGACTGATCAACTACAACACACCACCAACAATCCAAGAAATCCGGAAGACTGCCGCCGACAGGGAAAAATGGCGCGAGATTGTTGTCGCCTGCAGACCCATATTGTTTGCAGTCGAATGAATGAATGAATTATTATAGCATAGAAATTACTTTTATCGATCATTTATCGAATGAAATTGTTTATGAGATATTCGATTATTTTGATCATTGTGATATTTCCGATATGTTTTCAAATCTTAATATATGTTTTAAACATTTAATTCTTTATTCATTATTGCTAATTAAATACTTATCATACCATACCGACAAATCATACATTTTACTTTCTTTTTTACTACACATGATTGATGTATCATTCAATCGTTTTGAATATCTTGTTCTCTATAGAATTCAATGTGATATTGTAATATCATTTTTTCCGAATTTAATTACTTTACCTTGTCTATTCTCATTGAAAATTGATTTGAATGATCAATTAAGACTTTTTTCAAACCCTTGTGGCCTACTTTTTTTCGTTATCTTTACTAAGATATAACAAAATTTCAGTAATTAGAAAATTTTCACCTATTTTACAACTATATTAAAACTGATGAATACAGTCCTATTGAACATCTATTCAGTTATTGCTTTAGTTTTTGTCAGATGATTGAAAAATTTTGTCGTATGATTTTATTAGATATGATGACTTTAAGATTGGCATATAAATTCTGGTAAGATCATAATACATGTACAATTTTCATACGATTTTCTATGATCATGTAGCATCATCCTATAACAGAGTAAGTTTCTATATAATCTTGTAAGAATCGTATGCACAAATCTTATTCAATCTAACTAAAGCAATAGAGTTTGAGCTGGTATCTTTGTGACGATTAATCTTTATCAAGTTCTATTTATGACTAAAATTTCAAAGCAAACAAAATATTCCTATTTTGATAGTTTTTTGTCTTGCTGCAAGACAATTTTTATTTATCAAATTTTGAAACAAAACATATTGAAATAACTTGAATATTTTTTTTTTGAAATTTATACATTTACATATCATTATTTCTCGTTATCAAATAATAGAAAAACGAAGTGCCTTCTTTAACGATCATAAACAATTATTAAATAATTTTTTTTCCAAATATTTATTAGCTTCTTTTCCGACATCCATCTGTTCATAATCAATGAATAAAATTCTCATGAACTTTTCATATCTACATATGTATTTAGTAAAGATTATTTCAAAGTACGCCTCTTTAAAATGAACCATTCATTGTTCGTTCGTTTAAAAAACGTCTCGAAAAGAGTGTCTTGTTTGTTTTTCAAACCTTATCGATTTCAAACACGTGGCCTCTAGTTGCCCATACTCACTATTATGTTGGAAAAAAAGAACTTGGCAACAATGACAACAACATTCATTCTATTATGATTTCTTTTTCGATTCTCCTTCTTCCTTCTTCGATGACGATGCATTCGTTTCGTTGTTGTTCTTTGACGCAAGCTTGCTTCGCGAGCACTCTTAAAATGAACGATGAGAAAACTTTCAATAGCAAACAAAACACACTCTCATCGTAACAACCGACTAAAAAAAACGGCATCAAGAAATAGAAAAAAATCTCTGTTTCTCTCTAAGGCGACGAATAAATTTTTTCACGTCTCCTGTCTCCGACAGTATTCATTTATTCCTTGCTCTAATTTATTGCCATTCCACGACGACTATTTTTTGGGCCGAAGCACTTCATTCAAAATTGTATTCCTTCATCAAAACATTGTCGTTAAAATATGTTACTGTGATAGTTTTTCAAAAATCATGGACCTTTTTTTCAAAAGTTTGATGCTACCAGATTCGTCTCCTGTATCCTTCTAATGAATTGCATGATCTGGGTGTGAATATAGGTGGAATTAATATACTCATATTTACACCCGCACTCACATCCGCCGCTTTCCTTTTGAAGTCAGGCTACCTCCTTGTGTACCAACAAAAATATATATATTGATAATTAAGAATAAAAATCGTCGTCAAAGAATTTTTTTAAATAAGGAAGCTTTGTCGTTGAATAGCAGCCATTCATTCATGATTTCAGATTCACACATAATAATACATATAATTTGTTCACATTACGTACAATCAATCAAACAATATGGATCGCGATGCATTATCAGCAGTGTCAAATTCTTTCAGCACTAATCACCCATCGTCGAGTTCTACATTAAATCAGAAATTAGAAGACCCAAATCACATTTCGAAACGGGATCGTCATACTGATACAAATGATATTGTACAAAATTATATTTTGATTTGGCTTGACGCAAAAATCGATGAATCTAGCAGTAATTGTCTCAATTCTATCAAACAACTACGACAAACAGTCAATACCATTGAAATATTTCGTGATACAGATGAATGTATCGATTATATTTCAGATCTTGAAAACGAAAAGTCATTTCTCATTATATCCGACGCTTTATGTCAAACAGTTGTGCCACTCATTCATAATATGACACAACTGAATTCAATTTATGTCTTTTGTCGGAAACAAGAACTGTATGAACAATGGAGAAAAGATTGGTTCAAAGTAAAAGGTATTTTCACCGAAATTACTTCAATCTGTGACGCAGTTCGACAATCAGCTCAACAATGTGACGAAGATTCAGTCGTGATTAGTGCTGTATTCCCACTGAATCGAATTGAACCCTCATTTATGTATACAAAACTTTTCAAAGAAACAATTCTTGGAATCAATTTCGATGAAAAGAAAGAAATCAAGGATTTAGTCGATTATGCCCGTGGGAAGTATGTCGATAATGACAGGCACTTGAAAATTATCGATGAATTCGCCCGAGACTATCAAGGTAATTTCGATGGAAAGAACAAGCCCATTTGGTGGTACACTCGAAATTGTTTCACGTATCAGATGCTCAACAAAGCACTGCGTACTCTACAAGTCGAGACCCTGCTCAAAATGGGCATCTTCATTCGAGACCTTCATAAAAACATCGAGAAACTTTATTCAGAACAATTCAATGAAATTCATGGTGCAAAAACGACAATGACAGTCTACCGAGGTCAAGCCATGATCAAGGAAGATTTTGAAAATAAAATCAAAGAAGGTGGATTGATTTCGTTCAATAATTTCTTATCAACAAGTGATGATCGAAAGGTGGCCATTCGCTTTCTTCCGAAAGGTGCTCAGTCTGCTGACCAGAACACAATTGGTGTTCTCTTCGAAATGACTATTAATCCATCGATTTCATCGGCTCCATTTGCCCGCATTCACCAATTTAGTTATTTCAAGACAGAAAAAGAAATCCTGTTTTCAATGCATACAGTTTTTCGTGTCCAACAAATAAAAGAAATACAAGAAGGTGAAATGACCATACGACAAGTTAAACTTACACTCACTAGTGACAGTGACGACCAACAGCTTAATGCTCTTACCCAACGAATGCGACAGGAGATTACTAGTACAGGATGGGAACGAATGGGTGCATTGTTATGGAAACTGGGTGAAAGTGACAAAGCAGAAAAGGTGTGCACGATGTTACTCGAACACGCATCCAATGAAAGCAGTAGAGCCGGTTACTATAATAATCTTGGACTGCTCAAAGGCAATCAAGGAAAATACAATGAGGCCGTTAAGTTTTATGAAAACTCACTCAATATCCAAGAAAAAACACTCCCTCGGAATCATCCCGACTTCGCTACTTCTTATAACAACATCGGTTCGTTGTATTATAACGTGGGCGAGTACTCGAAAGCACTTTCATCGCTTGAACGATCATTTGAAATCCGAAAAATAGCTCTCCCTCCGAATCATCCCGACTTCGCTACTTCCTACAACAACATCGGTATGGTGTATGATGACATGGGCGAGTACTCGAAAGCACTTTCATCGTACGAACGATCACTTGAAATCCGAAAAATAGCTCTCCCTCCGAATCATCCCGACTTGGCTAGTTCCTACAACAACATCGGTGTGGTGTATTATAACATGGACGAGTACTCGAAAGCACTTTCACCGTACGAACGATCACTTGAAATCCGAAAAATAGCTCTCCCTCCGAATCATCCCGACTTGGCTAATTCCTGCAACAACATCGGTATGGTGTATAATAAGATGGGCGAGTACTCGAAAGCACTTTCATCGTACGAACGATCAGTTGAAATCCGAAAAATAGCTCTTCCTCCAAATCATCCCGACTTGGCTAGTTCCTACAACAACATCGGTATGGTGTATAATAACATGGGCGAGTACTCGAAAGCACTTTCATCGTACGAACGATCACTGGAAATCAGAAAAATAGCTCTCCCTCCAAATCATCCCGGCTTGGCTGGTTCCTACAACAACATCGGTTTGGTGTATTATAACATGGGCGAGTACTCGAAAGCACTCTCATTCTTTGAACGATCACTTGAAATCCGAGAAATAGCTCTCCCTCAGAATCATCCTGACTTGGCTACTTCCTACAACAACATCGGTTCGGTGTATAATAAGATGGGCGAGTACTCGAAGGCACTTTCATCGCTTGAACGATCACTTGAAATTGAAAAAATAGCTCTCCCTCCGAATCATCCCGACTTGGCTAGTTCCTACAACAACATCGGTTCGGTGTATTCTGACATGGGCGAGTACTCGAAAGCACTTTCATCGTATGAACGATCACTTGAAATCCGAAAAATAGCTCTCCCTCCGAATCATCCTGACTTGGCTACTTCCTACAACAGCATCGGTGTGGTGTATGCTAACATGGGCGAGTACTCGAAAGCACTTCAATATTACGAAAAAGCTCAAGACATCTGGAAAAAATCTCTACCTTCAAATCATCCAGACATTGCACTTGTGAAAAGAAACATTGAAAATGTAAAAAAGAAAATGTGATGGTTTTTTTTTAACGAGAAAATAAATTTGCCTTCTTGATCACTTAGTTCACCTCGCCGCAGCGGCTGCAAAAATTTCGCGCATGCGCGACTAGGGATGCGCTCCGTATGCTGTTGGGTTGTACAGTGGAGAAAGCCGGCAATGGTTAGGCAAACATATATTTATGTATGTATGACTACTACGTCCATGATAATCATCTCCAAGGAGACGATGACAAGATGGATGCTTCTAGTCATATACACATAGATGTATCTTATGAAGGCCTACCATCTGCACGTCTGTATAGGTTACCAACAGAACGTTGGATATCACTGGTAATGTCCATTTGATTTAGAGCCACCCCGAGAAGCTCTGCTAGTTTAAATTTATTTGTTCTTCTGTTGCGAGGAACGAGAAGAAGTAGAAATGGAAGGAAAAAGAGATAAAATACAGAGACGTGAGAAAGACGACGTCGACATTACGGAATGATAATACGCAGTGCACCAAAACAACCGGTGTGTATGTGTTGAATGATGAAAACTTGAGCGCGCGACATGTTTATTACCTTTAAACATTTGATGTTCAATTTGTTTCTTTGTTCATGTCGAATATGTAACGACAACTTGGATGTCGTGCACTCGATAGCGAAATAAACAAATGATGACCGAACGAAAGGAAAGATACAAGAAATAAGATTGCGCTCTTTTTGAGTAATAATTTATCTCTAGAAACTATTAGCATATAGATGAAACATACACGGAAAATTTAAAATATAATTTTGTTTTAAAAATTAGAAAAAAACGTATTCTGTATTTTTAGTAATATATTCAGTTATATCTCTTGAATTATAATACTTTACAGATTCTATGAATGTTCGGTTATATTAATGAAATATCAATTTAACTATTTTCGACAAAGAAATATTTGTTGATAAAAGTAATAGGATGCAAACAAAAAATAAAGATATATTTATATATATAAATAATATGTATTCGATAGTAGAAAAACATATTTCATATTAAATCATCAAAGAGAAATTTTCTTGTTCAACTACCATGATAATAGATACACTAAACGATCGATAAACAATTGAAAAAGAATAAAACATTGAATGAATTATAAAAAACCAGATACCTACAATGACGTTCTAATGAAGTATATCAAATGCACTACATATATCAAGATTTAATTGTTGGATTCTATGGAAAAGTTTTATATATCAGCAAAAACATAACATGAAGATACACAGATTTTTTAGTACTTTTTTTTTTAAAATATGTTTAATATTTTTTATGCTTTTCTTAACTTCATACGAGAAGACAGTAAAACAAAAAAAACTCGAATAACGTTTCATTTTGCTGATGACTTTTGTATTCTTTCCCATGACATTGAATGTCGCCTTAATTTCGAAAGGATACATAGAGAATTTTAATGTTAAAAGAACATTGTTTAACTAATTCAAGTATAGTATAAATAACATTTAATATATTATAAACATCATAAACAAGAATAATACATTGATGATCAAGTTCATACAAAACATTAGATATTTGCAAATCGATCAGATGTGCCTACGATATAAAAAAAATAGAGATTATAATATATAGGTTTGCATGAAAAAAAAATTCTGAATATGTTATAAGGCTCTAGCAGAAAGACTACGTT